CTAAAGTATAAACTTTGGTATCTGTATCATTCACTGGTATTATACCTCCGTTTTGATTTATTAGTCCCCTTGTATTTTAGGTCAAAAAAATTTCCTTTAGTTTAAATACCAAAAATTAATTTTTAAACCATAAAAATAGTGTCATTGAAAATTTCTTTCAAATACGAATTCAACAATATAAGTTTTGTGACATACAACTTATATTTTGTTAGGGAAATATATGGTTGGAATTGGGCATAAAATACGAAGGGGACTAATAAATCAGGACAGTGGTAGCATGTTACCCATGTTTCGGTTACTCTTTTTAAAATCTCCAACGGACTTATCATTTTTCACCGTATGAAAAGGATTGTAAATTTAGGAGGGTGACATGTGACTATCATCGTTAGACCTGTAACATCAAGTGTAAAGTTGCAATCGGTATGGAATTTTTAGCTACAAAAGCAACATTTCCATCGCTTTTATCCGTAACGAGCAGGTACTTATCGAAGTAGAAATGCATTAGCAGCAACGGGCAAACCCGGTTACCCGCGGAGCCAGCCAGCCAGAGCAACCCAGACCCGGTCGCACCCACACCGCCAGGACAGAAATTTGTACTGCTAGCATACGAACAACGGCCACCCTTCCTTCCCCCACGTCCCGCCAGGACCCACGCGTCATTGACCTATCACCTCGCGACGCCCGCATCAAATCAAACCAACCAACGAGGATTTATTATACCAAAGGGATAATAAATTACTCGTACTCCTTACCGGGCGAGGCGACACGGGGGAAGGGGAAAGGAGGAGTAGAAGCATCGGGTGCATCTCGTCTCCGCGTCCCGCTGCCATTCCTTCCTTCCTTCCTCTGCTCTGGCCTTCTTCCTCCTTCCCCAAGGCGAGAATCCGCGGCGGATTGACCCGATTTCGATCCCGTCTCCAGATTTCCCCTCCACCTCCACCTCCAGACACCCACCGCAATCCGCTCCCCCTCAACGTGCGCGCTCGCGCGCTCCCACTCGCCCCCATCCTTATTAATTCCCCTTCCCTTCCCCACCTCTAAACCTCCTCCGCCTCCCCTCTTCCTCCCCGGCCTCGGCCTCGTCCCCGTCCCCTTCCCGCAACGCCGCCGCATTGCTCGGCCGCGGCGTCGATCTAGACTCTCTAGAGGCGTCTGCATTTCTGTGTCTTCTTGTTCGGTTCGATTTGGCTTGGTGCTCGATCCGAGGGGCGGGGGAGAAATGTGGGTGGCGGAGCGGGTGCTGGGGGAGCGCCGGATGCGGGAGATCCAGCGCTTCACCCGGAACGCCAAGCTCACCGTCGTCTGCCTCATGCTCACCATCCTCGTGCTCCGCGGCACCGTCGGGGCGGGCAAGTTCGGCACGCCGCAGCAGGACCTCACCGAGCTGCGCCACCGCTTCATCTCCCACCCGCAGCGCGCGCTCTCCGAGCACCACGACGCCCGCTCCAAGGCCTCCGACGCCCAGGCCCAGGCCGCCCAGGCCGCCGCGGGGAAGGCCGCCGCCCGGGACGACGAGCCGGAGCCGCAGCCCAGGTCGCTCCGGGACCCGCCCTACACGCTCGGCCCCAAGATCTCCGACTGGGACGAGCAGCGGGCCGCATGGAACCGCCGCCACCCGGAGACCCCGCCCTTCCTCAACGACGTCAAGCCGCGGGTCATGCTCGTCACGGGGTCCTCGCCCAAGCCCTGCGAGAACCCCGTCGGCGACCACTACCTCCTCAAGTCCATCAAGAACAAGATCGACTACTGCCGCATCCACGGCCTCGAGATCTTCTACAACATGGCGCTGCTCGACGCCGAGCTCGCCGGCTTCTGGGCCAAGCTCCCGCTCCTCCGCGCGCTCCTCCTCGCTCACCCGGAGGTCGAGTTCTTCTGGTGGATGGACTCCGACGCCATGTTCACCGACATGGCCTTCGAGCTGCCGTGGGAGCGCTACGGCCCCTACAACTTCATCCTGCACGGCTGGGACGAGATGGTCTACGACGACAAGAACTGGATTGGTCTCAACACCGGCAGCTTCTTGCTGCGCAACTGCCAATGGTCGCTCGATTACCTCGACACCTGGGCGCCCATGGGGCCGAAGGGCCCTGTTCGTATTGAGGCTGGGAAGGTGCTCACCAAGTACCTCAAGGACCGGCCGGTCTTTGAAGCCGACGATCAGTCCGCCATGGTGTATATCCTCGCTACCCAGCGTGAGAAATGGGGTAACAAGGTGTATCTCGAGAATGGCTACTACCTCCATGGCTATTGGGGCATTTTGGTGGACAGGTACGAGGAGATGCTTGAGAATTACCAGCCGGGGCTCGGCGATCATCGGTGGCCACTGGTCACTCACTTTGTCGGGTGCAAGCCATGCTCCAAGTTTGGGGATTACCCTGTTGAGCGGTGCCTCAAGCAGATGGACCGGGCCTTCAATTTCGGGGATAACCAGGTGTTGCACATGTATGGGTTTGAGCACAAGTCTCTTGCGAGCAGGAGGATCAAGAGGATCAGGAATGAGACCAGTGACCCTCTTGATATGAAGGATGATTACGGGTTGCTCCACCCAGCGTTCAAGGCCCTCAAGACTTCTACATGATAACTATAGTACACTACTTCCACGTTTATTTTGTTCGTTCGTTCTAGATTCTCTTGGATCAAAATCCTATAATTCTTCTTTTTGTAGACTCAGGGTAACAAGGAAATCTGGTTTTGGTATCAGGGGACGGATATCTATGTTGTACTGTGAAATGTTAGAGAATGAAGTTATGTTGTTGATGGCACAATCTATGTTTTCCGCTTCTATAAATTGCTAACTGGTCACTTCTAAATAGCTCTATGGATTTCCTATTTATTTGTTGTTACCATTTTCATTTGTCACAAGTGTACATTTCACTTCCCTAAATGTTATTGTTCGTGTGCTTATTGGTTCTTCTTCAGTAGGATATGGTCGTCCCTGTGAGCCAATTATTTTGCTTCCCTATTTGCATTGCTATTGGTGGTAGTTGGGTAGGAGGATATCTTGTTTTTTGTCATATATGAGCTGCTGGAAATCCTCGAAACTGTACCTGCCTGATGTGTCCTAGCTTCAGCTTCATCAGTTTAGTTTTGAAGCACTTAATATGGCTGGTATGCAATACATCAGTTTTCGTGTAGTTTGCAGTTCTGACCAAATTGAGAGTTGATATGAACTTGTTAGTGCTGGGTGGTCTATATATCAGTGATGATTTCCTCGTCATGAGATTATGGTTTGTTTAGCTATTGCCAATGCAGATGCCCTGTTATGTATCTTCTGGATGAACTGCTACCTTTTTTCAGTTTCTAGTCTACCTGTGAATTCGCCTGAGCGGATTTTCAGTTTTGAACGTAGCGTAGCAGGTTTGTCCTTGAGTGAAGCAAATCACTTTGAGACTTGTCTGGTTCATTTTCATAGGGTAATTCGGTTATCTTCTCCTAGTAGTTGTAGAGTTCTGCATCTCCTAGTAGTTGTAGAGTTCTGCATACTTAAGAGGACCCCATAACTTTTGGCTCCATGTGTTGTGTGGTGCTGCCATGGATCTGGTCGGTGTTCAGTTTCAGAATCCTATGCCATCACATGGTCAGGAGCTCAAGTTAAACTTCGAGTTCAGTTACAAAATTCGTGATGTCTGAGTCAACGATTTGCTTCCCTCGACGCTGCGAGTTATTAGTTCTCATGCCCCAATGAATTCTCTACCCTATGCTCTAGGCAGTCAACTGTGGTAGATGCTAGAGTATTGTACTGTAACTGCATTTCACATGCCAAAGTAACGAAGCTGATTTCAATCGAGCATGTAGCCTATTAAGACAATAGGGTAAAAGGAAAATGGACAGGGAACCCTGTCTATCAATTCTGTCCTGAATCTGAGAGTATCCATCATCTGTTCTTCCAGTGCTCTGCTGCAAAATTTGTTTGTGCTCAAACTAGTCCTGACTTCTTCTCCCACTATTTTGACGTATTGCTAAATTTATTGGTAGTAGTCGGCGTAATATTCAAATTGTTGGGCTTGCAGCTATATGGAAGATTTGTAATCGAGCTTGTTTCGATAAAAAGCTTGTGAGATCCCTTGTTGAATTCATATGTTCTTATGCTTGTTGCTTTTGACAATATTGGGCAGGCCTGCAAAACCCTACTGACAGGATGATGCTTCCAGAGGAGGCTTTGGCACAACATGCTGATGGGACTGGGGAAAATGAAGGTGCACCTCTCAATTTGGTCAGAACTCGACTTGGTGGAGCTGATGGTGATGAAGAAACAAGTGATGCAACAGAAGAAGCAGACATGAAGAAGACCAGGTGAAGAATTATAAAAATGAGCCTTGGCCTTAGCTTATGATGGTCCTTTTTAGTTTTTGTTTTGCTGTTAGCGGTGCATGAGGCGGCTATGACCTTTTTTTTTTTTGGTTTTTGTTGTGCACACTGAATGCTAGAGTTAAAAAAAAAAACTGCTGGATGCTATAGTTGAATGTTGGTCATTGTGTTATCGTTATAGTGGAACAGATCTTTTTTATCGCATGGAAAAAAATGTAAGTTTGCACACTGGAGCAAGCATTGGATCGGTCTAAACTCAAAATTTCATACGCCGGTGCTTGCACTTGGTCTACCGTAGACCTCACTTGCAAGTGACATGAGTGCGACTGTAAAGTACTCCCTCCGTCCCACTAGATACATCCATTTAAGGAACAAGCTTGAGACAAGCTTTTTCGGACAGAGGGCGTAATTTAGATATGCAGTAGGAGAGAAAGGGGAGGTGCACACCATCGTAGCAAAAAGCATAAAGCCGTCAGCGAGCAGATGTGAGACAAATACATCATGATAGACTCCGCAGCAATTGAATACGCAAATTTCTAGTATTAAATGGTTACGAATGGAGCAAAAACAACACCCTGTCTCTGTTCTAACACTTCCCAGCAGCCCAGAAGCAAATCTCGTGCTCCAAATGCTGCTGGGTTCTTATTGCCTGGCTCCCCAGCGACAGAGGACGCCATCTGCTACACCAACGCTTATTTGTATAGCTGCTTCAGTCTTCTCGCAGCTTCAATAATGTTCTCTCTGTGGCCAAATGCGCTGACCCTCACAAAGCCCTCGCCACCGGGCCCAAATCCACTGCCAGGAGTAGTGACCACGTTTGCCTTCTCAAGGATCTCTGCAAAGACATCCCAGGAATTGCGGCCAGGGAAGTGCACCCACACATAGGGGGCATTCTTGGCACCGTAGACGTTGAATCCGAGCGACTCAAACGTGTCAACAATGATTTTGGTGTTCTCCTTGTAGAATCCGACAACGTCTTGCATAGCCTGCATGGTGGACATGGGATGAGAAGCAGCAGTGCGAGAAGAAGCCATACAATAAAGATTTCAAAGCACTGAATCCCTACCTTTAGACCCTCTGGAGAGAGGCAGCCTAAACCACCGGCCTGAGAGATGGTCGATGCGCCATTGAAGGAAGTGCAGACTATGCGGTTGAAATCTTTAGCAACTGGATGCCCATCAGAGAAAAGGAGCTCCTTAGGGACCACGGTCCAACCCAGTCGGACACCAGTGAACCCAGCATATTTAGAGAAAGACGCTGTCTCGAGGGCAACCTACACGTCAACAAACCATAATGATACAGGTTCAGCTTGACATATTTGATGGAAACAACTTGCTAGTAGTCCTCAGAAAACTGGACCGAACATGTTGGTAAAATTCTTAAAATTTCCATAAAATGGTAAGCTAAATCTAGAAACATAGAGCCTACCTCCTTTGCCCCAGGAATTTCAAAGATGGATTTTGGGCTGTCATCTGATATGTACATGGCATAAGCAGAATCATAGACTATTATGGACCCATTGTCCTTTGCGAATTTGACCAACTGTGTTAGCTGGTCCCTAGATGCAGCAGCACCAGTAGGATTGTTGGGTGAACAAAAGAATATGATATCTGTCCGTGGGACCTTGGAAAGATCAGGGAAAAATCCATTTTCAGGACTGCATCTCATGTATTCAATATTTCCATACTTCTGAACATCCTGCTGATATAAGTCAGTTTGCCCCATGATAACACTTGAATCAACATATGCCTGTTGAAATGGATGTATCATATTAATTTTGCAACATATACAATAGTACAAAAAGTAATAATTTATCATAATTATAGGATGAGAACAAAGAAAAGTAGCAATTATATCACCACAAACATCACTTAGGTTTGGGAATCACAAATATATAAGGGAACAACAACTGAAGTTTAAGATCCATTGCAGAATTTTATTACGGGATATGATGGGTCTTGAACTGCAATCTTCACTTTAGATCCAAAAAGAACCTGAAATTTTGAAGCATAAAAGTTATGAGCGACAATGTAACGTGAACAGTAGACTAAAGGGTGAGAAGAGGCATTCTGAACCTGTAGACGAGAAATGTCACATTTTGCACCATCAGAGACAAATATATCGGTTTCGTCGATACCAAGATCCGCATAGTAGGTTGCAGCAATTGCTGCCCTTAGTTTCTGTAGAAACAATTAATGCACCATTTTAATGATGAAAATGACATTTGAAAAGAAAATTGTCAAACATATAATTGAAAAGACAAACTTTAAACTCATTGTAGACAAAATCAAGAGCCACACAAGTATCTGGATAAGCAAACTCCGCCTATGTTGTCTCAACATAGCCGGTCCCAAGCCCGGGTAAAGGAGGAGGGTTGTGATAGGCTTGGTGAGCCAACGTGAAAACTCAGCCACTCTTATGGAGATGAAACCCAAAAGTATTTGGATAAGCCAGTAAAAGAAAAGTAAGTATCAGCCCATTAAGAGATTATGGATCTCTCCAGACAGACAATCTAAAGCATGGAATTAACAATTCAAAAGCCATAACTAAATGGCCACAGCTTCAGATGTCATTAGATGTTGGTAAACCTGCATGGCTTAGCATACCATCTTTCCTAGTCAAATAATCTGCGATCGGACTAGACCACTTTTACAAGCATATGTGAAAAACAGTTACACCCACCTTCTTAGCCATCTAATGGTGTCTATTGATGGATTAACAGAAAAAAGGTTGTGCATTAGTAAACAGAAACAGATGCCATTTTAGTTATGCCACTACCTTTCATAAGAATATGCCAAGATATTATAAAATTGTGATGTTACGAAAATATTTTTCCAGACTAATCTAATGATACTATTTTTACATAACAATCTAAATAATTATCATTTTCTTTCCATACGCCTCCCAAACTGGGAGCCGGGTTCCATTATATGCATACCGGAACAGAAGTAAATGATTAACACATATATTCCAAGTCAGATTAGATAAGTTTAATTGCATTCTTCCTACGGAGTCATCCATTTAAATATAGTGAAGTGGGAAGCAATATTACCTTTTCACCTTGTTCAGCTCCATAACCACTGTAGCCATCCACTGTGGATAAAGCATGTGCTCTCTGCGTTTATACATAGATCGGTCAAAGAACAATATTGGATAGCGAAAGAGGAATTATGCAACGCAGAATGAAAACATGAACTTTCTTAGTCCACTCTCTGCAAAGATGTGTACTGTGTCAAATATTTGAGTAGCCATCCTTTACCAAGGAAAAACATAAACATGAGCATGAACATTTTGCCAAAAGAAAAAAACACCATGCATTACATCTACAAACATGTTTCAGAAAAATTAGATTTTGTCTTCTTTTTTACTTCCTGAGATAAACAAGGTCTAATGTACTCCCTCCGGTTCTTTTTACTCTGCATATTAGGTTTGTCTGAAGTCAATCTCATCCAACTTTGACCAAGTTTATACAAAAAATTATTAACATTCACATAACAGCACATTTATTATTAGATCCATCTCGGAATATATTTTCATATTATATTTATTAGATGTTATAGATGTTAATATTTTTTAATATAAATTTGGTCAAACTTAGCAAACTTTGACTTCAGACAAAGCTAATGTGCAGAGTAAAAAGGACCGGAGGGAGTAATGCAGCTAGCAATTTCTTGTTTTCCGGAGCGATGAGATACCTCTGCCATGGCATTTGTTATGACCTCCGGAATGGGCTCAGTAGTGTCACCTATTCCCAGACTTATAATTTTGGCGTCAGGATGCTTCAGCAGATGAGCTGCCCTTCTTCTGGCAATCTGAATGGAAGTTGAGAGATTATCACTAACAAAACCCAAATCCCTAATGCGACAGTATGAAAAAGAACAAAACCAAAGAACAACAACGCAATGATACCTCGGGAAACAAATAGCCTGCTTGGAGCTTGGCTATGTTGGCATTCCGCGAAACCTTCGTCGTGTAAGCTTCGCCACGGAAGCATAATATTTCAGTACACAACTACTAGGTCGAAATTTGGATGTATTTGAGACTAAAGTGCTGGAGACAAAGAACAGTACATGTATCGGCGGCCGGAGAGCTACTGGCGCAGCGTACATTAACGGGCAGCCTTCTCGTCGTCCGGAGGTGGTTCGACTTCGATGCCCTGCAAGCACTTCAAGAGAGTGACTCGTCGAGCTACCGAAACGCGCCGTGCGGTACCGAGAGGGGAAGAAGTTGGGTACCTGAGTGAGAAGGAAGGCGACGAGAGGAAGGACCGGGGAGTGGTCGTGGTGGAGGGTGAGGCGGTAGTTGCCATCGTCGTCGGCGGCGGGCGTGGCGGCGGCGGGTAGATAGGTGGAGGGGGAATCAGTACAAGCTTAGCCCTCCCAACGAGGGAGTGAAGACAGCACTCAGATAGGCCAGGCTGGGCCGGGCCGCGCCGGTCGAGTCCACCAGATATCTTGGAAGGCCTGCTCCGGTTCGCTGCTCTGTTTATTACCGTGAAACTTCCGCAACACTGGCCCTGTTTGGTTCCGCGAGTTAGAGTTGATTTGGATTAATTTGGACTCAACCAACCCAAAAATATCTAAATATGAAGGTTAATTTGGGTTAGATGCATCTAATTTATTTAAAAAATCTAACTCGCCCAAAAGATGCTTATTTGGGTTAGTTTTTCTTAGGACCACTAAAAAAAGCAGATTTTTCTCTCGCTCTCCACGTAGCAGATCCCTTCCCACTTCTCGAAGCTTCTCGTCCTCTCCCTCCCTCCCTCTCACACCGTCCGTGAAAGGCGCCTCGCCGTATCTGCGCTCCCATCCGCCACCGGTAAGCAACCCCGTCATATCCTCCCGTTCCAACCTCCTCGTCTCCCCGCAGCCCGCCCGTCCGTCGGTAAGCAGTCACGGCTCCTTGCGCGGTCATCTCGTCGGCCTCGGGCAGCGCAACTCCTTGCACAGGGACTGCAGATTTAGTCGGCGGGCTGCGCGAGAGGCCAGCGCGGCTCCTTGTCGGGTGTGTCTCCGTCTGCCTCGGCCAGGGGTCACTCCGCCAAATCCGGCAGGTAATACGGTTCAAAGTAGCCAAATAATTAAGAAAGATCATTTATTATCAATCTAACCCTGTCATCCAAACACCTCTTTAGTTATAGTTAGTTCAGGGTTGGTTTAGAGTTAGAATCTAACTCTAACCTGTAAAACAGTGTACAGAGAAGACAGATTACTGCATACATAAAAAAAAGACAGATTAGCTGCATTGATTGATTTTTTTACAACCGCTTTCTCTCAAGTCAAACTACGTAAACATAGATCAAGTTTATAAAAAAATCATCAACGTCACAATATCAAATAAATATTTTGCATCATATATATTTGTTATCGTGAAAGTTTATATTATTTTCTATAAATTTTGTCAAACTTATAAATTTCAACTTTTGTCAAAACTAATATGCAGAGTAAACAAAAGCGAAGAGAGTACAAACACAAACAAAGAAAAATAATAGAGGGGAGAGGTGGTGTTGTCGTGCACCCTCACGTCGTCAAATTAGGAGCAGAGGCATGCACGCATACCGCGGACACCACTCCTGCGCACAGAACACTCTCACAGGCTGACTCCTCCGCCGCGCAGTTCAGTCCATGCGAGAGACGCGAGAGGGAGGAGAGAGATCGTGAGGAGTGGATTCACCTAATTCGGCTAACCACCGTCGCCCTTCATACTTTATCCTACGTCACCACTACACATAGTGGAAACGATTGTTTTTAGAGTCTGAGAAGAAGATGATTTTTATTACACACACAGAGAGAGGGAGAGATGGGGTTTGGCTGGGGGAGCTCTTATGGGCGTGTTTGGTTGAAGTTGTGAACAGTTCCTGCATCGCATACACTTCTCAACCCAGTCTGGTTGAGCAAAAACAGACCCTAATGCGCTATCTGCAAGTTGTTTGGTTGTCTGCATCTAGTCTCCCTACTTTAGGTAATACGTAAGTGCACTTTGTTTGGTTGCTTGCATTGGCTCAAGCGGCACATGAACACGGCGTACATGGTGTGCTTACCTTGTACCCTAGTTGGTGGTGAGCTTACCCAGAATGATCACGCCTAGCACACCAACGCCACAACACAACAATGGCGATGAACTGGACGAAGATGATGAAGTTCTTCAGCTTTAGCCTAAACTGACGATCCACATTGACACCTCCAACCTTGCCACTGTCAACACTGATGCCTTCGTGCTTTCGCACCCAGTCGGAGTAAGCTTGTTCTGCTGCCTGCCTAGTCTGGAACCCTCTATGGTTGTTGTTACTATACAATGCCACTTGTGCACTGGCTTCTTTCCATGAACTATAAACCCCTGGAGCCTTACCGATGAACACGGCATACCACTTGCTCTAGCAATGGACAAGAGCACGAGTTGAAGCAAAAAATCAATGAAGCACACAAGTAACAAGCAAAGTAGCACACAAACAACAATCGAGCAGAAGAGAAGAAGTAAAGCATGCATGATCATACGGCATAGCAAGTTCTACCTAGCACTACCTGGGTGTTAACCTACCACCACATCCAAAAGAGGGTGTCGTCCTACCACTGCAAGTTCACCATCATCATGAGGGGTTAGTATATACCACTTCACCAAAATATACAGACCATCAAATAGTTTTTTAGCCCTAGCTACACAAAATGTACGTCGTCGTCGTCGTCGTCGCCGCCACAGCCATCGCCGTCGGGGATCATGCACGCTCACGGGCAGCACTACTCTAGTAGTAGTGCTTGCCCAGCCAACTCTTGGGGCACAACACCCTCTGAGCGTCTGCCATGGCAACGAACCCAACACCCTGGGCCTTGTTGTCAAGCAGGTGTCTGAGAGCTGCCATGAGAGCCTCGTCACTGAAGCCACCCTAGGTCATGACAGTGCCATACAGGTCAGGGTGGATGAAAGGGGCGATATAGTTGACTAGAGGGGGGTGAATAGGCAACTAACAATTTTTAGCTTTTATTTACCAATTTAAACTTTGCATCAAAGTAGGTTGTCTAGAAATGCAACTAGGTGAGCAACCTATATGGTGCAACAACAACAAGCACGCAAGCAAGCAAGGGATATAACACAAATAAGCTTACACAAGTAAAGGCACGAGATAACCGAGAGTGGAGTCGATGAAGACGATGATGTGTTACTGAAGTTCCTTCTTTTGAGGGGAAGTACGTCTCCGTTGGAGCGGTGTGGAGGCACAATGCTTCCCAAGAAGCCACTAGGGCCACCGTATTCTCCTCACGCCCTCACACAATGCGAGATGTCGTGATTTCACTATTGGTGCCCTTGAAGGCGGCAACCGGACCTTTACAAACAAGGTTGGGGCTCTCTCCACAACTTAATTGGAGGCTCCCAACGAAACCATGGAGCTTCACCACAATGGAATATGGCTCCGAGGTGACCTCAACCGTTTAGGGTGCTCAAACACCCAAGAGTAACAAGATCCACAAGGGATTAGTGGGGGGAATCAAATTCCTCTTGGTGGAAGTGTAGATCTGGGCCGTCTCAGCCAATCCCTAGAAAATCAACAAGTTTGATTGGCTAGGGAGAGAGATCGAGAGAAAATGAGCTTGTGGAGCAACAATGGAGTTTGAGGGAAAAGAGGTAAGGTATCTTGGAGAAGAAGACCCCTTTATATAGTGGGGGGACACATCCAACCGTTATGCAGCCCGCATCTGGGCGGTACTACCGTTGCTGGAGCGGTAGTACCGCTGCCATAGTGGTACTACCGTTGTGGCAAGCAGGCATAGGACAACCAGGGCTAAGAAAGAAGAAGTACGCGCACAAGAACGGTACTACCGCCCTGCGGGCGGTACTACTGCTAGTGAGCGGTACTGCTGCTCCCTACAGCTGCTGCAAAAACAGAGGAGGGCAACGAGTTGTGCGACAGTTGGGGCGAATGTAGGAGCAGTACTACCGCTTAAACAAGCGGTACTACCGTGCCCTACTGTCGTCCCTACTACCGCTCCCATGCGTGGTCTTTTACGAAAACCCGACACGAAAAAGTCGAGACCACAGCAGGGGTGGTGGTACCAGCGGTACTAACAAGCGGTACTACCGCCCTGGCCACGGTACTACCGCGTAGCACAAGGCACCCCTTGTTTTGCACAACACGGAAACACCAACAGGCAGGAAGACAGCGAGGGTGCAAGGAAAATGTGTACGTGATGATTCCACCCATACTCTTCTGAAACGGATCCCCTCTTGATAGTACGGTTATCCCTACGACTCAATTTCACCGAAAATAAACGAAGGAAAATAATCCGTCTAAAGTGAAGTCCTCGAGGGGAACGATCGCAAAGTGCCCTTATAATAGATCACCTGAAACACTTAGTGCACACGATTAGTCCGCAAACGTATTGTCATCAATCACCAAAACTACTTGAGGGATAAATATGCCCTTACAATCTCCCCCTTTTTGGTGGATTGATGACAACACGGGATTTGCACAAAATAGTGACTGAAAATAAGCAAACCCCCTTCTAACAAAATATAGACGGGCTCCCCCTAGAGGTGTGCACCAAGGAATTAGCATGAAAGGCTATGTGCACATCTTTAGGATCAAACTCCCCCTATATTTTGTAGGCAGGCAACATCCTTGCATATAAGAATAACAACAAGTACAACTAAGCAAGGACAAGCATGAGGGCAATAATATAAATGCTGAAAATGAAGCATCTCACAATATAATAGGGTACTTGATACTAAAGTAGATAGGAAAGGGTAGTTCACATATGTCTTACACCATATGGTCTTGCTCACAGCCGAAAGAAAGCGAACGAAAACGAACGAACACAACAAACACGATACACGAGAACATGAACACGCCAACACACACGCCAACACAAGACCTAAGGCAAATCCCTAACTCTCCCCCTTTGGCAGTAAGACACCAAAAGGGGCGACACGACCCACGATGGTAGTAGGTCTCCATGGCATCACCAGTCATGATCCTCCTCCTCCTCAGAGACCTCTGCAGTATGGGGAGAAGCGCGAACTCTGCTGTCCTCCTCAGTGTCAGACCACGGGTGTCGGTGTCAAAACCGGCGGATCTCGGGTAGGGGGTCCCGAACTGTGCGTCTAAGGCTGATGGTAACAGGAGGCAGGGGACACGATGTTTTACCCAGGTTTGGGCCCTCTTGATGGAGGTAAAACCCTACGTCCTGCTTGATTTATTCTTGATGATATGGGTATTACAAGAGTTTATCTACCACGAGATCGTAGAGGCTAAACCCTAGAAGCTAACCTATGGTATGATTGTCTGTTGTCTATCGACTACCCTGGCCTCGGTTTATA